ACCCCTGGACCCCCCGGACCCTGGGGTCGTATTTGGTTTTATGATGTTGAGGGTTTTTGTGCCTGAGGCTCGAGGTTTTTGTTGTCGATCTCCATAAAATAGTTAAAATATTTTTTAAACTTTTATTTCTCTCAGAGACAAAACGAAAATCTGACTCTGAAAACTTTATTTGTCCCAGTGGGGCAGTAAAGAGGGCGGGGGTGGGGAGGTGGGGGGGCAACAGGCTGAGGGAAGAGAAGATAAAAGAACAGAAAAGAAAAAAAACAAACAACGAAGAAAAAGAACAAGAACCAGAACTGTGTTAGAACGGGAGAAAACTGTAGTACTCGTAGTACTTGAAGTTGAATACTTGAAGTATTTCTAGAGGTGGAAATATATGGACCACTGCTGGTGTTGGCAAACTTTAAGCAGTGGTTCTCAAACTGTGGGATGCATTCCACTAGTGGTACATCTGCTCCCTCTGGTGGTATGAAGGGCAACTTTTCTTTTTTTTTTTTTTATCTCTGCTGGTACAATAGTCCACAAAAGTACTGCAGTGTTGGTTCCAGCCAATCAGGGTTCAGACCGTTCAGTCGTCCCAGTCATTAATCAAATAACTCTGAATAATTGCCTCTAATTCAGGAACAATTTTGTTCAGTGAAGAGTGAAAATAATCAAAGTGAAGAATCTGGACGACACGTCGTGTGGGTTTGAGACGTCCGCGGAGAACGGTCGCACGTAAATGGGCTGCAGGACGGGATTTAAACCCATGAGCGCTCACTTGGTATTAGGGCATATCCTGTTTAGTTTCCCTTGACCCCCCTGCCCCCCTTCCCCCCCCCCGACACACACACACACACACACACACACCCCGGGTCGTCAGAGAACCTGGTCTGCTTTGTGTTTTGGTCTCAGTGGTACCAGTGTATGAAAGCCAAAGTCAAATACACACACACAAACACACACCTGGTGATGACCTCTGACCCCCCTCCGCCTCAGCTGCAGGAGGCCGACAACCCCTGGGGAGACTAGGCTGGTACTGCACAGTGTCTGTGAGGTCAAATTTACAAAATTACATGAGAAACAAATTTAATCATTTTTCTTCATTTCTTTTAGATGAGACAGTTGTTTCCAGACATTTCCACAGCGCCCCCTTTTGGAGGTAAGTAGTTTCACCGATACAAAACGGCTAGTCACCTTAAAAAAAAAATTTCATACAGTGAAATTTCTGAAGAAAATTCTGAATTTTAAATCAGCTCAGCGCCCCCTGTGGGGCTCACCCTGTACTTTGGGAACTGAACAAACAGGGATATTTGGAGTTTAATTTTAAATCGTATTTAAGTCAATGAAGACTAATAAAACTGACAACTGTTGCAGGTGAAACCCCGCCCACGTCAAGAGACCGCTGTGATTGGCCGATGCTCAGGTCATCGTTCTCATAACTAATGACTGTGAACCACATCAGTGTCTGAGCTCATCGTCAATATTTTCTTTCATCCTCTGCAGATATCGGAGGATGTGATTTACGTTGGTCTCAGTGGAATATCTGCTCCCTGTGGTTCTCCACCGTCTCTGGGGAGAAAGGAAACGCTGGGTCAGCAGAAAGTTGTGAGGGCTTTGGGGGGGAAGGTGGGGGGGCGGTATATGACCTGCCCCTCAGATCAAAGATGAGTCGGGGCCATAACTCAGCTGAGGGCCATGACGTACCGCTGTCTCCTCTGACACCTTCAAAACCAGCTCCACATGGAGCGGAGGGAACGGCCCTCGTCGGCTCAGATCCCGTCGGCTGTCCCGGTGCCCGAAACACACACATACACACGCCCTTCTCGTGCGCGGCCTTCACATCGCTCTCAACTCAAAAAAGTTGACGTGAGACGAACGGTGAGACTGAGAGGTGTTGAGAGACAGAAGACATTCTGGACGGAAGAAAAAGAAACGGGAGAGTCAGGATGAAAACAGCGGCCAAATATACAGTATATGGATGATTCACAGAAGTCTTTGATCTGACAGTAGGGGGTGAGAGTGAGGGGGGGGGGGGGGGGGGGTATGGATGAGTGAGGGGAGTTATGGAAGAGATGATTTGTTGGAGGCTGCGATGAGTGGAATTTTACTGTCCATGTGTCTGCCAGCATCCACTACCTCTGACTCCAACCCTCACCCCCCACACCCTCACAGCCTCACCCCCCACCCTCTCCCCTTGTGGGGTTCACCCCGAATGATCCTGGTAGGAGTGTCTGGACCAGTGGTCTGTGTGTGTATGTGTGTATGGAGCTTTAAACACATGTACAGTTTACATTATCACCTGTTTCTTCTTTTTCTTTCAGCTTTGTCC